ATGGCACCTTCTCTGAGTTCCCCCACTTTTAACCGCAGATTCTCCACCCTGCAGTGGATTCCATCGTCCTCCTTCCCCTGACTATGGGTGTCACATCTTGCTCTTTCCGCACTCTATACTCTGGGCATTCTCCTTCCTCTCCATATCCCACTTTTCCCCCGGGGGAGCACACCCAAATCCTGCCCACTCACATTGCTCTTCTGAGCTCCAGTGAATCTGCTCACCTGCCCGACACCTCTGCGTGGGAGTTGCAGTATTATCTCAGACTTATCATATCTAAAATGGGGATTCATCTTCCTCCTAAGCTGACTTTTTCCTCTGGGACTTCAGGCTCTGCTGATGGCACCTCTCAGGCCCCACCCTCCTTGTAAATCACTTTGGATTCTGTTTTTTTTCCCCCTCTCCCCAAACTTGCCCCATCACTAACTCTAGGCCACTCCCACAAGCCACGCCTCCTGGCCACCTCCTCCTCCACACCTGCCCCACGGGAGGCAGTGCAGCCCTTCCTCCCACCCCCTGAGTGCTCTTCCCGCTGTCAGTCTTTCTTCTGGTTCTGCGCTCAGTGTCAGATTGATTTCTGTACAGCATTGCATCTAAGTCATGTCGGATTTCGCTCCCTTCGGGATTAAAGCCAAGCCTCAGCCCTCCTTTGGAGCCATTCATTGGCTGTCTCCAGCCTCCCTTCCCAGCCCTCCCTTCCTGGTTGTACTTACCTCCTGCTCCAGTTGCGCTGCGCTACCCCCCGCCCCCCTCCCCCCAGGCTCTGAACATCAAGTTTTCTCTCTGGGCCTTCGCATGCAGTTCTCACCTCTGTCCTGCCACCTTGGCCTTTCCAAATCTCTTCTCTTTTTGAGGTGTTCTGCAACACTTTTCCCCAGGATGACTTCTCTGGTCTCCCCATCCTGAAGAGTTCAGTCCTTCTGCAGAACAACCAGAGTTTATCTTTATCTCTCAATGCCTTGGGTGGGCCAGGGGCCAGCAGCACAAGAGCCTGTAAGAAACACAGAATCTCAGGCTCCACCCAGGACCCATGGAATCAGAATCTGCATTTCAGCAACATGCCCAGCGGACTTGCGTGCACATTTAAGTTGGAGAAGCACTGGACAGTGTACTTGCTGAGGACGGGAGCTTGCCTTTTTTAGGAGTGGTCTTCAGCCAGGGCAGGTGGTGTTCTCACATGTCAAGTCAGGTGACAGCTGCCCCATCTGACCAGATCCCATGAGCTCTGAGAGGCACTGTACAGTAGAGACTCCGACAAGCACACAGACTCCACCTGGACACTTCCCGCCTGATTCTGTGCCCCACGAGGCCCCGGAGCCCACACTCTGTGCATCTGACTCCGGAAGACACTCTGGCCACACAAGGAGGGATCAATTAATCAATAAGAAAGCAGTTATCGAGCATACAGCAGAACATTTCCCTCTTCAGAAAACACACAGTGGTTAAAAATGTCTGTTATTTTAATGTATGTTTTACAAAGAAAAACATGTATTTAGTGTTTTCTTTATGACAACACTGGTGCAGTTTCTAAAGAGGTAACTTTAGAAAATACAATATGTCACACGAAGAAAATAAAAATGACTCACAAGTCTACTCCCCAGCTATAAATACTATTAATTTCATACTTATTATAGATCACCATCCATTCATTCATCAGACATGTACAGACCCCTACTGCATGCCAGACCTGTGCCGGGCACTGGGGGCTCAGGGTGAAGACAGCAGGGTTCCTACTTCCAAGCAGCGCACACCCAGGGGCGGGGTGTGGGAGGCAGGCACTGAACAAGTCAGGAATGGCAGTGTATCCATTTCCTAGGGCAGCCGTAACAAAGTGCAGCAGGCTAGATGACTTAAACAACACAACTTTATTTTCCCAGTCCTAGAAACTGGACGTCCAAAATCTCGGTGTTGGCAAGGCTGGCTCCTTCTGAGAGCTCTGAGGGAGATTCCGTACCATGGTCTGTCCTGGACTCTGGTGACAGCTGGCTGTCTTTGGCGTCCCTGGGCTCGTTGCCGCGTCGCCCTCATCTCTGCCTCCATCATGCAATGGCAACCTCCCTGTGTGTCTCTGCCTTCACACGGCCAGCTTTTTAGGAGGACGGCAGTCCTGGTGGATTAAGGACCCACTCTACTCCAGAGTGACCTCAATGTAACTAAGAATGTCTGCAGTGACCCTATTCTGAGGCCATATTCTGGGATACCAGGGTTAGGGCCTCAACATGTCTTCTGTGTGGGGACACAGCTGAAGCCGGGACAGGCAGAGACAGTGCGGGGCCTGGACGACGCTCCCAGGAGATGGCATTTAAGCTGGGGCTGAGTAATGCACAGGGATCAGCCCAGCAGAGGTGGCGCACGCAGCACACATCGGGACCTCAGGACCTGAGTGTGGAGGCAGGCTGGAGAAGAGCATTCCAGGCAGACAGCTGACAAAGTGGCACTTTTGAAGAAATATAAAGGCCAGTGTGCCTGGAATACGGAGGAGGGGCAAAAGCATGGGGTGAGCTGTGTCACTGAGCCTGTGGGCCTCCGTGAGGGCTTTTTGCTCTCTCCCTCGGGCGATGGGGAGCTGCGGAAGGCTGTCACTCAGGAGGGATTCATTCTCCTTTGTGAGCTGTCTCCTCACAGAACTGAGCTGTCTGAGGGCTGTGTTGTTCCTCTCTGTCCCCAGTTCGGAGGGCAGGTGCATGGTCACGTCCTCAGGAGCCCTCTGGCTCGAAGAAGATACATGGCGCCCTGTCCAAGGAATGAAGACACAGCCGCGCCCCCAGCAGCCCCTAGTACAAGGTGGGAGTGGAGAAGCCCTGGGCTTAGGAACCTCATTCTGAACAGGACACAGGGCTCTCCCGGCTCTGAGACACAGGTTTGGGCCTGGCCACCCTACCCCCACCCTGTCGTGAGGACTGTGTCTAAGCGTGTGTGCAGGGCAAGCACATGACCCATGTGGGTCTCTGAGGCCAGAGGCCCCAACGCTGGTGGAGACCAGGGCTTAGGTCTTGCAGGGGACCTCTCTTCAGCATCCTGCTCTCCCCAAGGGATGCCTGGACATTGTCTTCCTAGGCAGGACCCAGCCTCTCAGATGCTCAGCCCGTCCCTTCCCATGCCCTCAGGGCTGCCCCTTGACTGTGCATGAGGGGAGGAGGCCCTGTGCCCAAAGCTGCCTGTCCGCCCTTGCCCGGGCTGGGTGGGCCAGGCTGGGTGGAGGAGAAGTGGGTCAGCTCGGTAGCCATGGTGACAGCCACTGCTCCCTGCCAGCCTGCTCATCTCACCACAAACCTCACCGATGAGCTCCTTTGTCCAGCCTGCTGGAATGGGGGCCAGGAGGGTGAGATCAGGGGCTGGAGCGCGTATGGGTGTGTGTATGTTGGCCAAGGGAACCAGGGACACAGGTGAGACATTTGCCCGGTTCCCTGGCCACTAAAGAGATGGGGCTCTTCCTGCCTACCTGGGCTGGACAGGGCCAAGGGAAGGGTGTGTGTGTGAGTGTGTGAAGGCCTGTGGCTGTCAGTGGGGCTGCCTCTGTGTGGCTGAATATCTCAAAGGTGTGTGTGCATGTCTGTATGCATGTGATTGTGTCTTTAAGCGTGTATCATCTGTACGGGTCTGTGCGGTGTGCGATCACACATTTGGAACGCTGTGCCCTGTGTCTCCGCCCGTGTATGAAGTGTGTATGTGAGCCTGGTTTGGGGGAGATAAAGGTTGCACCATCCAGAGAGGAGCTGGCACTGTGTTCCCCACTCGGGCTAGGTGTGCCCCTTCAGCCAAGCCTACATCTCCCACCATGTGCCAGCCTTGTCACCCACCCGTACGTCCCTGAGGGGAAAAAGAAAATTCTAGAAACAAGGGGACTGCTCTCCCCTTTGGTGGATGGTGGCACTGGCCTCTGACAGGGGCACAGCCTGGCATGGGTGATGTGGTGGGTGGCCCTGGTGCTAGATTGGGGTGGGGGCGGGGATCTCAAATGCCAGGCCCAGCATCTAGCGAGGGGCCAGGAGCTGAGACGCTGGCAAAGGAGAACATAGCCTTATGTGGCAGCTCCCAGCCCAACTGAGAGGTGCAGGGACCAGGTCCCATGCTGGTCCTGGGCCCTGGGCGGAAGCGCCGGAGCTGGAGTGGGAGGTGAGCCTGTTGGTCTTGGAGTCTTCTCACGAAGTGGTTGTGCCTGGTCTGTAATCCGGTCCAAAAGCACGAGCACCTGTACGTCCTTCACCATTTACAAAAGGCACCGCTATGAGTAGTAATAATGCAATTGCCCAAGTGAGCATTTAGCACGTCTCAATCCTTATTTTGTAATATTTCACCTAAGAATTCTAAGGCTGTCTTTATTATTCCCAGTTTAGAGATGAGGCATGGTAGGCTCAGGGGGGTTGTTAGGGAAATGTCCCTGTGTCACACAGCATACAAGTGGCAGATCTTGAAGTAAGTCTGTCTGCCTCCAAAGCCTAGGTTTTTAATCACTGTGCTTTTCTGCTCCTCGTCATCTCACCTGCTCCCCAGTCCAGCCTGGAGCATCCAGCTGGTCCAGGTGCCAGTAGCTGCATTTTATAGAAGAGGAGATGGAGGTTCAGAGAAGCTCAGTGACTGGCTCAGGGTCACATGGCTGGGGGTGGAGTCAGGAGCCTGCCCCTGCCCCCACCCCCAACACTCCTGAGTGCCAGGCATGTCACAGAGCATCTGGGGAAGGAAGGAAACATAGTGTCTAGAGCCGATTAGCATTTGGACTCTAGATGAGTCCTTCATGTGTTAAAAGTGTTAAAGTTGTGGGTGGAGCTTTAGCACCAGCAGCTTGAAGTTAAAAGTTCCTGAAGGCCCCACGGGCAGGTGACCCAGGAGTTTAGACAACGTTGTGAAGGAGGAAACAGAGAATGAGACAGTTGAAATGATTTGCTGAAGGCCACATTGCTATGCCCAAAGTCTGTCTGCTTACTCCATAGGCTACTGGAAGCTCTTCAGGATAGACGTCTTCTCTAGCCCCTCCTCTAAGCTCTCTTCTTTCCTTCCAGAGTCTTATCACATCACCTCCTCCTGGGAGCTACCCTGATTGCCTTCACCTCCTTTCTTGGAAACTGGTGTTTCAGAAGTTACCAGAAGCCTGTGTCAATGCCCTAGGGGAGTGCAGTTGGGAGGGGCACAGCCCCCTGTGATGCGGAGCACCACGTGCAGATTCATCAGTTCGGTGAGTTTGGGCTTTCTTCAAGGTGAGAGGCAAGCAGGGAGCATCTGACAGGTGATGTGGAGTCTGGGAGTTAGGAGGGTTGAGCTGGAGTTCTGATTTTGTCGCCAACTTTCTGTGTGACCCTGGGAGTGTCTCCCATTCTGGGTCTTGAGTTCCTACCCTGCACGGAAAGGCTCAGGCTGGAATAAGGATGGCAAATCCGTTTTAACTCCTCAGCTGGTTCTTATCAGTTGGGGCTGGTGCACAGAGTTGAAAGGGATTTGGAGGTTAAACCTGCCTCGATGGGAAAGGGATGGGTTAGTGATGTCTGCTGTGGACGGACCATTGGGGAAGGCAGTGAGGGCCTCAGTGATTTGCCATCTCTTTCAGTCTGACAGCCCACCATCCTGTGACAGGTTCCTTGGTCTTTCCGGTTGAAGGGTGTGTAGCTATGTTTATCTTGGATGGTCTCATTGACTCTCAAAAAAAAAGTTCATTATCTGGTTAGACATACGGTCAAAGGGACCAAGAGGTGCAGGGTGGCTTGGTAGAGCCCTGAGACCCTGCTGTTGTCAGGACTTGGAAGACGGTTGTGGGGGCCCTGAGACATCAGCGTAGAGGCCAGACTTCAAGGGCTGGAAAGAAAAGGTTTGTTTTTTGGGGAGCCTGGAAGGTGCCTGCGGGTGTGGAGCTTTGGGAGGAGTCAGGGCAGCCACCAGGGCAGCCGCTTCCTCCCTAGAGGGTAGGTCTGAGCTGTTGTCATGGATGCTGCTGAAGCTATGGGGCAGGGTCAGCACGGAGAACTTGACAGTGAGGGCCTGGGATCCAAGGAGATCAGGGGAGAATTCCTTTCCTTGGGCCCAGAAAGGGACAGTCCTGCTCAGAGGCAGGACAACGTTAAAGGATTTTTGTGGAAAGACTGCCATTCCCTTAGCAATCTTTGAGAACGACCAGAATGTGAGGTGCTGTGTTCTGTGTCCTGCTGGCCCCCTCCACCTCCTGCCCCTGTCCTGTCCTGTGGTCTGATGGTGCAGGGGTTGCTATGTATTAGGACTTTCCTCCTCAGAGGGGCCAGGTGGCCAGCTCTGTCTGTCTTTCTGTCGTGTTGTTTTTTAGCTAGACTGGCTGCCAGAGCAGCAAGCAGATCCCCAGTTCTGAGCCTGCCAGTTCACAGACTCTGCTCACAGACTCTCCCAGGCAAAGGGACTTCTAGAGATCACCTAGTCCAACCCCTTTGTTTTACATGCAGATGAGGAAACCAAGGCCCAGAGAAGGTAATACAGGGAATCTATACATTCTAATCCCACCTCCTGATTCTTATTCCTCTTGGCTGCCTACCCAGGACTCGTGTACTGGGGGTCAGGCCCTATGACCTCTGGCCCAGTGCTTTGGACCTGGCTCCTCCTATCCCCTGGGAGATGGCAGGCCTGACTGGTCCTCCCAGGCACTCATCGGCTCTCCAAGCTCCCTGGGTAGTTACAGATGAGAGTGGCTCTGGGTGGTGCCGAGTCCTGGATGTCAAGCCATCCGCTTGTTGGTGCCATTTATTATTCATGAGGAAATATGAGCCCCTGGGTTGGCAGGGTCAGGAATTTTGTCCCTTACCCTCTTTCCTTCTTGTCCCCTGGGAGTGGTGTTCTTGAACTTCCTGTAGTCTGGCTACTCTGGGGCAGCTTTCTCAAAGAGCCCAGAGACTCAGGGCAAAGCATGAGCAGGAGGGTTGAGCCCCCATCTTTGGGTGGGCTCCGGGTTGGAGGGGCAGGGGCTGCAGAGTGTGTCTGTCTCTTTGCTGAAACGGGGGACCTGAGTTTGAGTGCGGGCCCTGCCACTTCTTAGCTGAGCAGAATGGGCAAGGCCTCGATGTCTTTGCGACTCAATTTCCTCACCTGTGACATGGAAATAACCACACACCTGACAGAAATACTTTCAAGAGCAAGTGAGGCTTACACTGTAGCAGATTCAAAGGATCAGATAAGCGCTCTCCCACCATCCAGCAGAAGACCATGCAGGTGCCCCAAAAACACACCAACTGGCACTAGAATTGGAAAGTGAAGAGAAGAGATCATCATAGGCCCAAGTCCAGGGGACTTTCCATTAGCTACAAGGTTGATGGGGGGTGGATGGAGAAATACAATCCGGGGCTCTGCACACATCACAGGGTGAGCGAGAACAGTCCCGACAGCCACAAAGAAGGCAAGACGTGGCTATGACTCATCCCCACTGTCAGCCCTAATTCTCCAGCCAGTGGGAGCCACCCTGGCCAGGAGATCAGACTGCATTGTCAGCTGTGTGGGGACTGACTTCTTTGTTAGCTGGAGGGGTGCCTTCCCTTTCGCACCTGTATTTTCCCACCCCTTTCTTTGTCCTTTTGAAATGCTGGGTTTCCTTAGGGCGACAGGCCTGAGGACAGAGGGTCAAACAAAGTGCCCCTGAGCCCTGGGAAGGGGAGCTGCCTGGGAAAAAGACCGTGGGCCAGGACAGAGCCAGGAAGGGCTGGGTGCAGAGCATGCTAGAGTGGCCTTCTCTCCAATACATGACCTGAGCATCACACTTTCCACCAGGTTGAAGGGCTGATAGCCAGAGATTCCACTTCTGTATACAGAGCCACCGATGCCTGCTGCCTGACTCCCCCAGAGTGGCTCTCAGCACCCTCTGTCCCCTTTCCTAGCTCTCATCAGAACCATCACTCAATATTTAATTGCATAATTAGTTACTTTAGTTCTCTTTTCCTCCTCAACTGGAGGCTTGAGGAGAGCAGGATGAAGGTGGACTGACTCGCTACTGGTCTGTGGCACTCAATACGGGCCTTAGAATTTTAGGGGCTTAAATATTTGTTGAATGCAGCTAATGGGGAGAGTCCATTTGTATACTTCAGAAAGAAATTTAGCAATATATCCCAAGAATCAAAAAAGTGTTTAGGCCCTTGGTATCCGGCAGGATGCTTTTGGATGTAACAGAGACCCTGACTCATACTGGCTTAAGCAGAGTAAAATACATCGTCCCACATAATGGGAAGGCCGGAGGAAGGTGGGCTCCAGGGGCCCAAGGTCCTTTCTGTCTCTGTGCGGTGCTGCCCTTGGCAACACTGGCTTCATCCTAGGACTGGGCCCTCCCTGGGGAAAGAGTTCAGACAGACAGACACCTCCGCCTCTCTCATAAACATGGAATCCAGATCTTTTCCTGAAGTCAGATTGGGCCGACTTTGTCACATGCTCACCCTTGGATGAGAAAGGGTTACCAAGGTGAATGACACTGACTGGCTGAAACTAATCGGGATGGGGTGGTCCTGGGTGAACACAGTGCTCTGGCAGGAAGCAGGGGGAGAGGATGCATGTCGGGGAAGCCACCAGCAATGTCCACACCCCATTAAACCAGTCACTCTATTTATTAATGGGAATCAAGCCTAACGAAATAAGCAGATAAAATCAGTGTAGAAAGATGTTTATTGAAGTATTATTTAAGACGGGAGGGAGATGGAGAGACAGACCTGATCTAAGAGGTAACTGTACTGAAATATTTAAATCAGTTATGCTACTTCCATACAATGGAATATTATGGTGGCATCAAAACATTTATACAGTGTTAATGACATTGGGAAATGTTTGTGATAGAATGTTAAATGAGAAATACTAGGATATAACACTAATCCAAAAGAACCTATACACCAGTGTTCACAGCATCACAATTTACAATAGCCAAGTGCTAGAACTGACCTAAGTGCCCATCAATAAATGAGTGGATCAAAAAACTGTGGTACATTTACACAATGGAATACTACACAGCAGAAAGAAAGAAGGAGCTCCTACCCTTCACAACAGCATGGATGGAACTGGAGAGCATTATGCTAAGTGAAATAAGTCAGGTTGTCAAAGACAAACACCATATGATCTCACCTAAAAGTGGAACCTAATCAACAAAACAAGCAGGCAAAATATAGCCAGAGGCACTGAAATAAAGAACAAACTGACAGTAACCAGAGGGGAGGGCAGAGAGGGATAATGAGAGAAAAAAGGGGAAGGGTCATCAAGGAACATGTATAAAGGACACATGGACAAAGCCAAAGTGGGATAGGATTGAGGGTGGGGGTGGGTGGGGTGGGGGAAAGTTGTGGTGGGAAAATGGAGACTACTGTATTCGAACAGGTAAGAAAGAGAGAGAGGGGAAGGAGGGAAGGAAGGAAGGGAGGGAGGGAGGGAGGGAGGGAGGAAGGAAACAGGATATAAAGTATTTGCAGAATAAGTTCAATTATTTTTAAAATGCATAGAAAACAGATTGGGAGGAAATAGGTTAAAATGCTTACAAGCAGCTGCCTCTCAGGTGTGCAGTTACAGGCGACTTGGACCCTCTTCTTTAGCTTTTCTGAGCCATCCCGCTCCCAGCAGGAGGGCTGCTTCCACAGCCCGCACAGGCCGGAGGCGCTGTGTTCTCCCTGTTCTGAGCATGGCTGCGAGTGACAGCCGCTAACCCTCACCGAATGCTTACTCTGTGCCTGTGGCCGTTCCAGGCACTTGCACGCGCACTGATTCAATCCCTACAACACTCCCATGAGGTAAGTGCTTGCAGCTCTTGTTTTGCTGGAGTGTTCACTGAAACCCCAGGCTGCTGGGTCACGGGGTCGCACGGCCGGGGTGTAGAGGCCCTAGCAATTCGAGGATGGGCCGTTTGACGCCACAGCCGCTGCCTTTACCACCAAACCCGGTCACTCACCAGGGAAGCCAGGTGCTAATAAAAATAGCTCCATTTATTGAGCCAGACTCTGCACCCACTTTTGAATCCTCACAGCCTCAGGGAGGCCCAGAGACTTGCCGAAGGTCGGACAGCTCGGAAGCGGCGGTGGCTGCAGCAGAGTGGCCCCCAGTGTCTGATGTGGGGCCGTGTGCCTCTTGGTCTCTCCCACAGAGTCGCCTGAGGCCCTGCCGCCCCTTCGGACCATGTTTAACGCGGAGCCAGGCTCGGCCTCGGCCGCAGGCGCCAGGAATGTGGTTCGGAGCTCCAGCATCAGTGGTGAAATCTGCGGATCTCAGCAGGCGGGGGGCGGGGCCGGGACCACCACGGCCAAGAAGCGGCGCAGCAGCCTGGGTGCAAAGATGGTGGCCATCGTGGGCCTGACCCAGTGGAGCAAGAGCGCACTGCAGCTCCCGCAGCCTGGTGAGGGGGTGCGGGGCGCAGAGGGCCGCGTGGGGGTCGCCTTCCACCCGGGAACTGTCCTCGTGGGTGTACACGCCCATACCCATAGGCACACAGGTAGCACTTACCGAACACCAGGTGCCATTCTGGGTCCAGTACATGTCCTGACTCGTGGTATTCTTGTGTAACTCTGAGGCGAGTGCCGAAGCACAGGGAAGGGAAGTGAATTGCCCCAAACTACATAGCTAGTAGGTGGTGGGGCCCGCATTCAAACCCCAGCCGTTTGAACTCCTAACCGTTACCCTCTGCTGCTTCCATGCACAAGCGTACACATTATTCAGGAACTGTTTGTTACCCAGCCACCACGCTCCTGGCCTTGTGCTAAGTAACACAGCTTCACAGGCGCACACACCCGCAAGTCCAGTCTCACCAGTGACCTCCAAATTTCCTTCGCACTACAAAAAACCACACAAATGCATGACAAAGTCACAAGAGAGACAAACCCACACACAAAGATACTCGCCTTGCATAGTTATATAAATAGCATGCTCACTTGCTTAGGTGAGTCGCTACCCTACTTCCAGGAAAGGACAATATAGTTATGCATACTGTACGTAGTCATAAATAAAGCCCGTCCTGCAGTTCACACAAGCACAGCCCTCTGAATCTGACAGACCCAGATCACAAAAGCACTGTCTCTCTCACTCTCTCACATACACACACACACACACACACACACACACACACACACAGAGTAGCCCATGGTCCCAGAAATGTGTCACACACGCGTATGCACATATCTCACAAAACCCCACATTCACACACCGTCTGAGCTGCATCCTGACAAATACATTATATATTCTCAGACATCTAGTTATGGAATCCCGGCTGTGCTCAGAGTGGTGGGCGACCCACCTTATCACACATAGTCACCTGGACCCTACCTCACAGACCCCCCAACCCAGACCTCCTCACTGTGGCATCAGCCCAAACACCAGCTGGTTGTGTATTAAAATCTCTTCCTGCTTGTTTTGCTCAGAGTAACAACTTCCCCAAGAATCCTTCAAATAGGCAGCTGGATGGGGGTGGTGAGGGGGCGGGGGTGCCAGAGGATCTGGGGAGAATGCTCATCAAGAGTCCCAGTTGGGGCTGGGGGTGGGGGACTTCTCCAGGCCTTAAAATAGCTTTTTACAAAGCCCTCCCAGGAGCATGTGGGATGGCCTTTCCCAGCACTCAGGTTGGGGTAGGGTTTCTGGCTCAGGGAAATGCTAAGTGAGGAGGGGGCTTGCTGTGGTCGGTGCCCCAGGGTGGACACAGCCGCTGTGAATGCTCAGTGTAGGCCTGACATGAAGCAGTCAGGAAGATGGGGACCTGGAGATCCAGGAGTTGGGCTGGGACAGGACCCAGGGTGGCATTAGGGTTAGGAGATCAAAGAGGTGTTGGGCCCCAGGAGTCGCCTTGGGAGACCAAGCACTGCTGCTGACCTTCAGTGGAGTCAGCTTCAGGGCCAATGGCTTCTTCATGTCCAAAACGATTTGGAGGAAGAGGCCAGGGCAGGGGCTCAAGTCACTGGAAGATGTTCCAGTGACCTGCCCGAGGCTGCCCACCTACCTGCGCCACCAGTCAGCAGGCAGGGACTGAAGCAGACGCCTAGGAGACCTGCAGCCTCAAGGGAGATACGTGAGGATGGGCTTCTGGACCATTTCTCTGCATCGTGCGAGGGCATGGCTGACGGCTGGGGCCGGGCCAGGGGATCACACAGATGCCCTTCCAGCTGAAGGTCCCTATGACTCATCAATCACCAGATGTCAGAGCAGGAAGGGCCCCTTGAGATCATCTAGTCTGATGCACTCATTTTATTGATGAAACATTGGAGCCCGAAGAGGGGAAGGCATTTTCCCAAAAACAACTTCACGGTCTTTAGGGCCACGCCCTGTCATTTTCGAGCTGGGTGACTCAGGCGAGGTACTTCGCCTCTGCACTCACCACTGCGTTTGTAGAATAAGGACAACAATCTGTACCTTGCAGAGTTGTCCAGGGGGTTTCATGACATAGGCAATACAAAGGCACAAGCCTTGTACCTGGTGGGCACTTGGTGCTGTCGGTGGTAATGTTATCACCTAGGGTCCAATGGTAGGGCCAAAAATAAGAGTTCTCTGGCCCTTACAGCTCTGCCCCTTGCTTGCAGCATACTCCTCTCCCAGCTGTAATTCCTTGTCTCTGTTTTTCCCCCAGTTCTTGAGGTTGCCAGTGACCCAGCTTGGAACCCCATCCTGAGTGGGACAGTTTGGCTCCAGGGGATGTATGTGGCTGGCTCAACTTGGGAATGGGTACTGGAAACTCTCTTCTGGGAAGAGCTCCCAGGAGAGTGTTCCCAGTTGCCCCTGGATGGGATGGTCTAGTTCCCTGCAGGGCCCAGCTATGTGAAGTGGCAAGGAACCCCTCTCCTGGACCCAGTCTTCTGGGCCCTGCGTCTGCCTTCCCAAGGGGCCTCCTCCCTCCTAGCTTATCCATACTCAACATTGGCTTGAGCTCCTCCTCTTCGTTTCAAAGCCTGGACTGTTAGAGCAGCCTCCCCTTTAGTCCCCCTGCCTCCTGCCTGCCCCTTTCACATTGCCTAAGGTGGCTTCCAAAACCTGCTCTTGGCTCTAACTCCTCACGGGACCTTGGGAAAGTGACTTTCCCTTTGGGCCTGTTTCCTCTGTAAGGTGGAGCTGAAAAGACATTCTCCCAGCTTTCTTCTAGATCTGAAATTCTCCAAGTTTTGGGGGCAGTGAGATGGGTGGGATAAGAATTTTAGGGTTCCAGGACACATGTGGGTTCTGATTTAGCCTTAGACTGGGTCCACACAAGGCCATCCTGGGCTGTCCTAGCCCCTAGCCAAATGGAGCTCCTCCTTTCAGCACCAAGGACAGCAGCCCCCCTCTCAGGGCTCAGGGCTCTGGCTCAGGTGGGAAAAAGGGCTCAGCATCATTCCAGGAGATGTCATGGCAGTGCTGTGGGGAGCTGTAATTGCCTCTCCCTCATAGATGCTGAGATGGATGGGATGGTCCCTGGAGTCTTTCGGTCTCCAGGGACCACAAAATTATTGCAAGCAAGTTGGCTGGGTTCTCTGGAGAAAGGGGCTACCTAAAGTTACTCCCCAGATCTTCAGGGTTCAGAGACTAGAAAGGTATAAAACAGTAGAGGAATTTTCTCTAAGGTTGCAAGACCTTGCTCCCCACAGAGAAGACATGGAACTTAATCTCTGCTGAATCACATCTCCAACCATGTGGAGATGGTGGAGAAGGGTGAGGAGTAGCACGTCAGTAGACTGCGTGTCAGCCTGGGCCTTGTGGGCGCCTGGACCTCAGGCCCCCCACCTGTGAAATGGCAGGGCCAGGGGGCTGGCTGAGTGTTTCTAACATTTTAGAATTCTGTGATTCCCCTACCAGGGGGTCACAATGGAATGGGCAGGTCTGATCAAAGACAGTAAATTTCCTCCCAAATGGGTCAGAGCTTTCCCGAGCTCTAGAAGAAAGGGACTGGGGTCATGGGTGAGGCTCTGGCTTCAGCTCAGGATGTGTGTTGGAGGGAGGGGGTTCAAGGGGAGGGAGGGTAATGTGCAGATCCCACAGACCTACCTGCCTTCTAATCAGGTTAGAGGGCATTGGCAGTTAGGAGCCAGGGACAGGCAAGTCCCTCGATACCCACCATTATTGCCCAGCTCCTCTGCATGTGGTGGGTCAAACACCATTTCTGAGTTTGCATCTGTGTATGTGATTGAGTGGATAGGTTCAATTCCAAGTGTTATGGTGTGAAGATCACACTTATGTGGCAGAGTATGTCATGTGTATGTATGATTAAGACCTGACAGGACCATTTGTTACTGTTGTATGCACATACACATGACCTTGTATGTACAGTGTCTTCATAAATGTGATTGTCAGCACTAGTGTGTGTCTGCTAATGCCTGCCAGTATGAAAGAGGTATGAACGAGCTAATGTGACCGTGTGTGTAAGACAGAGAGAGAGAGATGTATTCCTGGATAGTTAGCTATTCCAATATCCCAGGAACTGGGATGGGTTCAAAGATGCCATTCCTCCTCACCACCTCCCACTCCCAGCCCCCCAGCCCGCCTGCTGGTGATGCCAGCCCTCTTAGCCTGCCCTCTCCCAGGAGGACTTCCTGAGAGATAAGTAGGACAAAACAAGAGGAATAAAGTACCCCCTTTCCAGAGCCATGGTCTTGAATAGCCAGCTCCCCCTCCCCAGTGCTTTCAAGGGTGCTGCCCTGGCTGTCCCACCCCCAGCCTCTCCCCAGCCCTATGGGTAACTCACTCTTAATTTGCCTGGATCTCTAACCAGCGATAGCAAATGGCTCCTTTGGTAGAGACCCTACCTGAGCACCGCTCCTCTCCCCATCAGGCTCCTCAGGCAGCCAAGCTTCAGCAGGAAAATCCTTGTAAACCCTCAGCCCGTCTTCTGTGCCCTCCACCCCCGCCCCAGGAGGAAAGGGTGTCTAGAGGGACCACACTGCAATGCTGAAGAGGTTACCATGGAAACCCAGGCAGGATGGTGTGCTGCTAGGAGTGGCAAAGTGCCCCATGTTCCCTGCAAGTCAGAGCTTGGGGCAGGGTGGAGGCAGAGGGCCCTGGGAACAGGAGGCACAGAGACTCGGGCCAGGCTCCCCCTGCACAGCGTCCAGGGTGCGTCTGTAGACTTCTCTCTCAAAGCCCAAGTCACTTCAGGCCAACCTAGCTGCCCCTCTCTGTCTTGTTTCCTTAATCACCTCTTGCTAGTTCGAGAGTGGCCAGGCTTCACATGGGCCTTTGTGGGACCCCTGAAGATATCAGCTGGGCTGTGAGACCTGAGCAAGACAAGGTGCATGAGGGAGAACAAATGTGGCAAAAGGCAACCTTTCTAGAAGAGAGAGGCAGGAACACAGCCCTTCTGAGCAAGGGCTGAAATTGAGTGGGAAGATAGCTGTCAGGGCTGGGGCTGAGGTCAGAGGGCTGCAGGGCAGGGACTCTACCTGGTGACTTCACACCCCACCCGCATCCCCATCACCCCAACTCTGCCTCCAGCCATCTTTCTGGCCTGCTTTGACTGTGCCACTGCCCTGAGCAGGGCCAGGCTGCAAACTGGCTCTGGAGGTCATCTCATCAATGCCCTTGCCTCCAGTCACAGCCTTGCCGAGCGTGCCCCTTCCCCAGCAGGGTGGCTTTGGGTGCACTCTCAGAGAAGCCTCACTCCTGATTTGACCTTGTTCCCTTTCTGTGCTTGCCGGGGTCACAGAAGGGGCCACCAAGAAGCTGCGCAGCAACATCCGGCGGAGCACAGAGACGGGCATCGCCGTGGAGATGCGGAGTAGGGTCACGCGCCAGGGCAGCCGGGAGTCCACCGACGGGAGCACCAACAGCAACAGCTCGGACGGCACGTGCGTGCAGCCCGCCCCACTGTGGTCCTCCCCATCCTCCCTGGTGCTCTGGTCACAGCGCTCGCCTGGGGCAGGGCGGGGAAAATCTCGGGTTGGGTTTTCCGGCGGATGTCTGGGATCCTCTGTCCCTGCCTTCCCCCATTCCCCTCCCCCATGTCAGCTGCCCGGGCCCCATCTTCCTACCGCTCCAGGCTGCTGGTTTTCATCCCTTCTGTTTATTTTCATGCCTCTGCCTCCCAGCACCTGCACACTGTCTCACTCCAGGGGACAGGGTTCAAAAGGAAAATGTGATTCAAAAATCCTTTAAATCTAAAACCATTGTTGGGGCTCAGATAAATGGAGTTCTCACAAGCGGCCTTGCTGGGGACTCAGGGAAGGAGACGGGGTTGCAGCCGTGTTTCTCAAACCGGGTGGTGACACAGGCAGGAAGGAAGCTTAGTTTAGTGGGGTAAAACCAGCATTAGAAAAAGAAACAAATTTAATTGTATCTTAAGAAGCAAGGATGAATTACCTTGTGAACTTGTGTTTCAGTTGCTTTTTTTTAATGTATGGGTACCCATAGGTCTATGACATATATCTTATACATTTGCATGTGGGTTGCAGTAAAAAATTTGAAAGTCCCTCAGATCTCTTCTAAGTTATGAAACTATAGTTACGCCATGAAGATTTCCTGATCTGGCTTTATTAGGGTGCAATAATTTCAGGGTTCCTTAGCTCTGTCGTTTAAGAGTCTATGATCGTGCATCTCACTGCTCTGCCTACATCCGTGAGTGTGAGTGGCCACTGGCATTTATTTTGTCTTATACACAGGGTGTCACCAGGCACTTCAGGTCAGTGCTTTCTCTCCCGGGGTCTACCCATCACTCTCAGACCAAAACGGTCTCATTTAACACCCACAACAATCCCAAGGGCTGCAGTACTCCCTACACAACTGAGACAGCAGAGGACTGTGAGGTACCTGGCCCAAAGTCACAGTCATTAAGTGGTGTTGGGGTCAGGATTTGAATGAAGGCCACTTGCCTTTATGACCTTCGTTCACACTCCCTACACTCTCTACACCGAGCTCCTGAAGTTCTGTGACCTCCAGAGTAGATTTCTTTCTTTAGCCTTCTCAGATGCGACGTTAGGCCATCGCTGACTGTGGCCAGTAGGAGTGGGTGACCCCCAAAGCCTCTTCCTGGGGGTGGGGGGTGGCACACAGGCCCTCTTCGATAAGCATATACACCTGCCTCCCCTCCCTGCCTGTCACTGGCCAGGGGGCACTCTTGGCCAAGCCGTCCGACGGGATTTGTTCTGGGACCAACTTTGATCTCTCCAGCCAGCAGCCTGAGCAGTTTTAGATCCTAGGGCTTTCTCCGGTCCATTGCAGCCCACGAGTAGACCTGGGCCAGCCCTCCCGCATCTGTCCTTTCTCTGCTGGCACACCCAGAACACCGAGGCTTGAGGACGTGAACAGGGAGCACTTCCCCTCCGTGGTAACAATGGCAGCGATAACTACCATGTATCATTTGTCTGAGGCTTTCCACGTACCATCTGTCCCAATTCTTACTGTAAAAATGCCTGAGTTGGACACCACCTTGGTTTTGTGGGCAAGTATCTAACATTGCGAACCCTCTGTTTCCTCATCTGTGAGACTGGATGATAGTGCCTGCCACACAGAGTCATCATGAGAAGTAAACCGTATGATGCATGTGGAGCATTTAGTGCGCTCTTGGCACCTGGCCAGCTTCAAGGACCGCCAGCTCTCCTTGTTACCGTTTCCTGGCCCCCCACAAGCATGGCACACCACTAACCGTCAGCGGTCATGCTATTGGGACTCAGTTGCTGGTTTGGCTACCACCTCACATTATTGACTTGATTTCAAACTTAGGGTCAGCTCAACCTCAGGTCTTGAAACTTGCTTCAGGCATCAAATTTCTGTCCTGTGTCTCTGGTTCTTGGCATTCATGTCCCCTGGGGAGGACACAGGTGTTCAGCAAGGTCTGCCTTTTAAGAGTCACCTTAGAGCCCTGACCAGTGTGGCTCGGATGGTTGGGCATCATCCCGCAAAGCGAAAAGTCTCTGGTTGGATTCCTGGCCATCAGTCCCCAGTCGGGGCACATGTGAGAGGCAACCAACCTGCTAATTGAGGTTTCTCTCTCACATCAGTGTTTCTCTCCCTCTTTTTCTCCCTTCCCCTCTCTCTAAAAGTAAATAAATAAAATCTTTTTTAAAAAGTCACCTATCCGTAGCTTAGTGGATTGAGTGCAGGCTGTGAACCAGAGTGTTGCAGGTTCAATTCCCAGTCAGGGCACATGCCTGGGTTGCAGGCCACGGCCCCCAACAACCACACATTGATGTTTCTCTCGCTCTCTCTTTCTCCCTCCCTTCCCTCTCTAAAAATAAATAAATAAAATCTTTTTAAAAAGTCACCTATCATTATGTTAGGTTCATTAGTCTCTATTCTTAAGTAATATCAAAGTATTTTCTTTAGTGTACAGAGATGAACAGTTCTCTGTCCCCAGCCAAAGTAGTACACCCACCCTATGTGGAGGGGAGATCGAGGCACAGGGGAGAGTACCCAGTGCCTCCGAGGCAGAGCCGCTGCGTCCCACCAGCCAGATGCCCTCGTGTGAGCCTCTGCCTTCTTCCCCAGGTTCATCTTCCCTACCACCCGGCTCGGGGCCGAGAGCCAGTTCAGCGATTTCCTGGATGGGCTGGGACCAGCCCAGATTGTGGGGCGACAGACACTGGCAACTCCACCAATGGGTGAGTCTTTTGAGGGTGGGGTGAGCGGGGTGATGGCAACCACACAGCAGAAAGGGTGAGCTCAGTGGGGGCCCTGCGTGACCCAAGCAGCAGGAAGGAGCCCTCACTCAGGCTTCTGAGGCGTGAGCATAGCACTTGTGCACCGCCCCCCCCCACTCAGAGGAAGGCCGCCCGCAGCAGCCTTGCCAGCACACTCCCTCCCTCACTTCACCACACGCTCTGTGTGCCAGCACCGCCACGTGCTGGACGTAAAATGGTGGACGGAAACCGTCGTGATACTGACTTTCATGGGGTCTGTTCCGTCACCAGTTCTCTGGTGGCCTTGGGAAGGTCTCTTCTTTGAGTCTGCTTCCTCATCTGTAAAATGGGAATAAAGATACCTGCCTTCTTTCTGCAATCTATTTATGGAGTTTTGTTTGTTTGTTTTGATGCTCTGCATGAAGTATTCCATTGACACCTTAGGAACTGTGTCTCATTTGACTTGTTACTCCTGACAGTGCCTGGCACCTAGAGTTTTCTAGTAATTTTCTCACCCCCTTTCCTGCTGCTAGGGAGGACTTCTTGAAGTCTGAACTTGGTCATCTTAGCTGCAGTTCTGGCTCCCTCCTCTCTCTCCCTTAGCTATTGGATGCACTGGCTTCACGCAGCCCCTCCCAGGCCCAGCTTCCCCAGAGATGCTGCCTCCCTTCCACCCCCTTTCCCATTAGTCTGACTTAAGCAGAGTCTGACCCAGACATCTGCACTGACCTCACAGCAAATGAGGAAGCCGAGTGCAGCCAGCGCCCAGCTGTGAGCCACACAGTGAGCTGGGTTTCATTCCAGGCCAGGACTCTTCCCACTGCACTGCCCTGTCTTCCTCCATGTGCTCACGCAGGAGCCTCTCTGTCTGCTGGAAGAGGGGTCCATGGAGACCCTCAGAAGATGAGCATCAGCTCTCATCTGGCTCAGGGTTTAGACCTGGCTAACTGTCAGCCCTTGCTTTAAGACTCTTAAGGGCCTGGGGAGTCTGCTTTTCCCAGCCCTTGGCCCAAGCAGCTAGAGGGGTCAATCACTTCTGTAAGCCAAAAGCTCCATCACAGCCTAGAACTGTGTGTGTGGTGCCCCCTGGTGTTCAAAACTGGAAGTGACAGTGTTGCGTTTGCCCATCTTGGGGATGTTCAAGTGAGACAGGGAGATCAATTCCTGAAACATCCCCTCCCACTTCCCTGTGGGAGGTCGGGGTACTTGGAGGGAGGGGGATGAATTCAAGAATGTCTTTGTTTGTATTTGCTTCTTCCCAAATACCAAAAACAAACAACAGCATAATGGCTCAGAGAATCTAAAATGGGTGGCCGAACCCACAGACTGGCCTATTTTAATTTTTCTGCACCAGGCATAGGAGTCTGCACTCCCTTGAAGGATGTTCCAAGTGACTAATGCATAATTTCAAATTCCAGCAGAACTTGAACAGAGCCAAGGGTTCTGGAAATCAGATAACTGACAAGACCCCACCATAGAACTGGCCGCAGCTGAATAACCCGTTCTGTGGAGCACAGTGAGGGGTTCTTAGTGCTCTGCTCCTGGGACACCTGCTGGCCTCCCCCTCGTCCCTCGGCAGGGACACAAGCAGGTCCTCGTTCCCAGGGAGCGCCTCGTGTCCTGGGCAGGCTCATGTCTCAGCATCTCTTCAGCTAATAATCTTTGTCTATTTGTTTGGCTTGTTTAGAGGCACGGCTGGGAGCTGCTGTGGAGAAGGTGGATAAGAGCCTTTGAGCCCACAGCCTCCCTCTGGTTTCCTGACACAGGGAGCTCTGGCCCCCTGGCTTGCCTATTCTGCTCAGTAAAACAGAGGCCCCTTGATTAACCAGACTTAAATGGGGGTTTGGCAGCCATTTTTGTCCCCAAGCATGTCCCTTGAGGGTCAGGCTCTCGCCCTACCCCAGGGGACCTTTTAGACTCAGAGCCTTCCTCAGCCGCTTTAAAGTGGTCTCCGGAGGGCAGTCCTCACACATGTAGTTCCCTTCACCTTGTGCCCCGACCGGGGTTGTAGTGTCTTCTGCAGACCGGCATTCTGCACAGCGCTGGCTGCTCTGCCCTGGTCCGGCTCTGCCTGGACTGTCCCTCTTCTGCCTTGCAGGGGACGTGCATGTTGCTATCATGGACCGGAGTGGCCAGCTGGAGGTGGAAGTGATCGAGGCTCGGGGCCTGACCCCCAAACCTGGTTCCAAATCCCTCCCAGGTGAGGCTGAGCATCTGGGAGAAGGACTTTGGAGATGGGGTCCTGCCAGGGAGGGGTGTGCAGCTGAGCTCTAGGTCTAATGAGTCCTCAGTTCCCCGTTGGCCTAAATCGGTCTTCCGGACACCGGAGCCACGGCTCACCCAGAAAGCCAGTGAGTAGGGGCAGGGGTAGGAGAGGACGGAGGATTCAGTGCTTGAGTCAGTCTCTTCGACCTTCTGTCCACCGGTCAGCTCTCCCTACTCACCCTGCTCGCCTCCAGGGCCACCCGGAGGTTGGGAAGGGGGCGGGGCACAGCGGTCTCTCCTGGACCCCTCCCCACCATGTTTTCTCCCATCCGCAGCCACCTATATCAAGGTTTACCTGCTTGAGAATGGGGCCTGCTTGGCCAAGAAGAAGACAAAGGTGGCCAAGAAGACCTGTGACCCCCGGTACCAGCAGGCTCTGCTCTTTGACGAGGGGCCGCAGGGCAAGGTACTGCAGGTGAGTGTGTCAGAGCAGCCCTCGGAGACTGCGAGTCACAATTTGGAATGCGTTCCACTTATGATTCATCCCGTGCCAGGTGCCTTGATATGCATTGGCCGTTTATTTTCACAGCCCAGTGAGATGTTACTGCCCTTGGTTGATTCATAAGGACACCAAGGTTTGGAGGGTAACTCGGTGGTAGCTGCTTTCCGACTGTGACCTCGCTTCAGCCTCGAGATGATCCTGTGCAGCCGGTGTGATTCTCCGCATTTTACAAATAAGGAAGCAGTCTCAGAAAGATGAAGTGCTTTGAGTGAGGTTTCAGCTAGGGACCTAGGGACAAGCCCAGGTCAGGGTAACGACTCTTCACCCCAACTACGTGAGAGTGACAAACGCTTCACTACGGTCCTGGGAGGAAGGGGTCATCATGCCTGTTTCATAGATGAAGTGACCCTGGTGGCAAGAGGTTACGTGGGCGTAGAGCACAATCCTGGGTTCAGTCCTGAGTTCAAGTTCTGGCTTGACTGCTTCCTAGCTGTAGTATGATGTGAAGATAAAGTGAGAGATGCCTGTAGAGGGCCTCCCGTAGTGCCTGGCACAGACAGCTGCTCGCTAACTCTCAGCAGCAGTGGGGTTGAGGGGCTGTCGGCCTTGGCTGAGGCCACGTAGCGGGGGGAGGGGAGGCTTGCGCCCGGGGGTGTCTGGGCTGTGGGGCTTCTCATCTCGGGCTGTTGCTCTGGGCCGAGGTGGTTCTTCAGCAGGGGCTCTTAGAGTGCACACAGTAGGAACGGATGAACCCTAGGGTTCTGTGGGGGAAGTTCGGTCTTGGTTGTTTCAGTTTCTTATATATATTGGGATTCCGTTTTGAAAAACGAATTCACCAATAAAAATACTTCAAAAATCACTGAGCTAATCTATTCCCCTCTCCCAGTTTTATGGGTGGGTGGGAACCCTGAGGTCCAGTGAGGGCCAGGGGCTTGCCCAGGCCACGCTGTGAGGCGGGGGCAGAGCGGGGGCTGTGACCCAGGTCCCGGAGTCTCCGTCTGCTCCTTCCTGGAGAAGGCTGGCACCCGGGGTCCTGGGGGCTCCGGAAGTCAGACCCGGGTCCATTCCCAGCTCTGCCACCCATGACTGTGTATCTTTTGGTTCGTTAAGTAACCTCTCTGAGCAGCAGTTTCCTCCTTGTGGAAATAATACACAGTACCTCCACCTGGACGGTTGCAACAATTGAGATGATAAATATAAAGTCCGTAGGTTGGAGCCTGGCACTCCTTAAGTGCGCAGTGAGCTGTTGCTTGAAACCGGTGAGCTGCGGTTCTCTCTGTCCCATCTGTGCCCTGGTGAGACGTGTGGGCTCCTGGGCCCACTGCCCAGCTGGAGTCGGGGAGGCGGCTCAGCTCCTCTCTCTTCCTCCCCACTGGTAGGTGATCGTCTGGGGAGACTACGGCCGCATGGACCACAAGTGCTTCATGGGCATGGCCCAGATCATGCTGGACGAGCTGGACCTGAGTGCCGCCGTCACCGGCTGGTACAAACTCTTCCCCACGTCCTCCGTGGCAGACTCCACACTCGGATCCCTCACCAGGCGCCTCTCCCAGTCCTCCCTGGAGAGTGCCACCAGCCCCTCGTGCTCCTAAGGACCTCGGAAAGAGGCTGGGGTGCGGTGTGGGAAGGGGTACCTGCTGGCACCCCTCCTCCTCCCCTGTACATAGTCTCACGTCTTTCTGGCCCCTCGCCCTGCTGCATGCCTGTTGGCTGCTGGGCGCGTCCCAGCTGGCAGTGGAGAGTGTAGTCTGTGTGTGTGTGTGTGTGTGTTTGTGTGCGTGTCCGTGTGTGACCATGTTTTATCCGTTCACTTATCTGGGTATAGTCAGTCTTGGTGACCACATGGGCTGAAATCCGTGTCCCTCTGTGTCTCGTTGAAAAGAAACCTACGTGTTGTGTGGACATGACTGCCCCTCAGGCCAGGGATGGAAGAGGGGGACGCGGCCCTGCCTGGTCCTGTGCCGGGGCAGAGCCCGCCTGTGCCTCTTGGTGGTCCCTGCTGAGTTTCCTGTCTTGTTCTTTGTTCTGCCTTTGCCTCTCCCAGCACTGCTGCTTTTTTTGAGGAATGTAGCATCCACTGCAGCTGGCCACCTCGAGGCCCCTCTGGGAACCGTGACGCCCCTCCTCCCACCCAGCACTCTGGCAGCTTTCCCCACCGAGTGCCCCTGCAGCATGAGGCATGCCCATCTAGTGCCCTGGCCAGGGCCCAGGGAGCAAAGATGCCCAGGGAGCTGAGGGCTTGGAGACCGCTTCCTCCCTTGAACTGGAGCCACCTCCTTCCTACAAGCAAAACAGGAGGAGGTCTTAGTTCCCAGGGTTGCTGGCCAGATACCTTAGAGGGAAGTTCCGCTACCTCCCTTAGCACTGCCCTTCACCTCTTACCTCCCTCCACGCCAGCTCACCTCCGACATGCCAAAGGAGCCCTCCCAGTGGACCCCCGGAGGTGTGGGTGGAGCGTCTTGGCATCCAGGAGGAGGCCCTCAGAGGGGATGTAATCTGCCAAAGCAGACAGTCCTCCCCAGGCTGTGAGGGTGGCCCTGTCCCCAGCAGGGCTCCTCCAGGTAGAGGGAGGCTGTTTGTTGGGATAAGGAGGTGGGGGCTGACAGGCTCTGAGCCACTACTGAGGATCCTGTCCGACATGTGGGGACTAGCTGCCTGAAGTTAACTGTTTGGGGCTCTACTTTTTGTTCACGTCTAGGCCAGGGTTGCTGTCTGGGAGCCTCACGTGAGCCCCAGTGTCCTGGCTCCACAGACAGGCTGGCTCTGGACCCTAGACTGCCACTGTCACCAGCTCTGTACAAGCAATACTCACCCCTCTCAGCCTCCCTGCCTCCATGTGCTCCGTCACTGCCCTTTGGAGAGTGGCCTAGGCACCCGTCCTGCCCTGCTTTCATTCCACCCACCCAGTTGGAGCGTCCCAAAGCCACTCAGACTCTGACTTGATCTGACAGCTGGGCCCTGTGTGTGGGGACCAGTGCCTGGACCCTGTGAGGTGTCTGCTGGGAACCCTGGAGTCTGGCTCAGGAATGCTTAAGTCTGTCCCTTTCCCCACCTCAGGTCCAGGGTGAAAGGTGAGAGGTAGCCCAGGAGATGGACACAGCAGCCCTGGGGTCCATGCGGTAGGGGGCGAGCTCTGTCTCTTCCCCAGGCGTGGTCATCCCCAGCGCTGCAGTGACTCTAACCAGGACACCCGCCCGAGGGGCTACCCAGGGACAGCGCAGAGTCTCAGAGCTGGAGTGCTCGAGCCATCTGTGACCGAAGCGGGACAGGCCTGGAGGGGGGCTGTGAGAGGGGCAGGGGGCGGAGGCTCTGTGGAGACACAGCCACCGCCGCCAGGGGGCCTCTTTTTGGGGCAGGATCCACATTAGTCTGAAGCCGGAGGCCAGTGCCTTTCCTCCAAAGGGGCAGAAACCGGGACCCCATCGGTCCTGCCCACAGACAAAGAGTAGGTGATACAATGAGCTTCTGGGCTTCTGGGCTTCCGTCTCCTGCCCGAGCCTCCGCTCTTGTATCAAAGATGAGAAACGTCGTATGCGCAGAAGAGAGGGAGGAGGCCACAGGCCCTTTTCTCTTTCTGCAGAAATCCTCTCCCATCGTGGTGGCTGGCTGGTGCGCGCATTTCTCGTGTTTCTCGAGTGAAGCAAAGGGCTCCGTGCTCTCGGGTCTGGGGGTGGGGAGGGGGAGGCACCTTGCTCACAGAAGGGTGTTTTTATGTCCTGTCCGCGATGCGTCCACCTCCAGAGAGGTCACCCTCGGGAGGGTGTGAAAATACACCCGGGGCGGTGGGATTATTCGTGATAGTGCAGACATCAGCTGGTGTAGCACCAAATGGTGATCCATGCAGCCACACCCGGGTTGGGGGAGGATATCACCTCATTTCTCAAGGGCCCAGAGAGACCATGAGAGAAGGTGGGAGCTGCCCGCAGAGAGGCTGCCGCTGGGTAGCTGGAGGCCAGTGCCCCTTGCCTGGGGCATGAGGGAGGCTGGTTAGCACGGGGAAGTTCCAGCCAGAGGCAGGGCGTCCTGGGTTGCTAACTGAGTCTGAGCTGCCTACAGTCCCCAACGGCCGAAGCTGCCCAGGGGTTGGGCTACTCCACAATTCCACCTCTAATGGGAAGTCATTTCCCCGCAAGTTGACCTTGGGAATTAGTCTATTTAACCCTTTGCACCAAATAAGTTACTAATCCCCACTGGATTTCCCCCCATGAGGGTGAAGTTGTGTGAGGCTGACGTATGTGTGTGATGGTGACTGGCTGGAGGTGAGGGTCTGTCCTCAGCATCCCGGGTGCAGGGGCCTGCCTGAGAGGCCGCTCTGGCGTCCCCCTGTCCCAGAAGAGGAGGGGGCTCCGGTGTCACCCCTGGCCATCTCTGGGGTGAGGAGCATCTCTCCTTCAAGGAGGGGATGGTGGGGGAGGAAGGAATGTGACCTCCCAGAGTTCTCCCTGATCTGGGACCCAATTCACTGCCAGGGACAGTATCTGGTCCAAACGCCCCCACAGCCCAGGTGGAACCCGGAGCTGATTACAGACCGGGGCTCTGTTGTTCCATCTTCCTGCTCCGGCAGGGTTCGTGGAAGATACGGCAGAGACAGAAATGGCCCTGCAGCAATGCTGGGCTGTGGGCAGGCCCCGTGACAATGATTCAGAGCATCTGTCTTCACATTTCTCCTCTGTTCGATCTGTCCCACTTCCTTCGTAGACTGCTTCCCTACAGGGAAGTCTGTGATGGGCCTTCGGTATGAATCAGGCTCTACTAAATGGGCCAGGTCTCAGTTTGACAAGGGGGATGTGATCCTTCAGGGACGAACCATCTCCAGAACTGCTCCCCATGCCGTCTCCGCCACCCCCCAGCTCTCCTAGGGAAGGAACACTTTGAGGCTTTCGGAATGCGGCAAGTCCCAGGCGTGGCCAGGACTGGCCGAGGCAGAACCTAGGAGCTGCAGAGAGGGAGCACCTGTGTACCTCATCACTCGTGGGATCACTGCCCCTTGCAGCGCTGAGGTCCAGCCCCTTCTCCCAGGGTCATGACGCCCACCGGGGCAGGCATGCCTGAGCTCTTCTTCACTGCCAGCCTTGAGGAGAGCAGAAGCGCCCCCTTTTAAAGATGACAGGACACTCCAAGAGTACTTCCTTGGAAATAAAATGTAGCACAACTCAGACTGCGTTACAGGAGCCCTGACACCCAACCAGGGTTCTTGCTCTTCGCCTCGCTGCCCAGGAGACCTGTGCTCCTCCCCCCCTACTCCCTCCCAGGCCTCCACAGCTTCTAATACCTCTGATCCCCCATCTTCCTCTGCCCAGAAAGTAGCAGGACTTTAGTAAAGCTGCTGTTCTCTTTCTCTGATTGCTCCCCGCACTGTGCAAACTCTGCAAAAAATTGCTGCCTTTGTTTGATATTGTAATGAGTTGTCCTTCACCTGGGTGGAGAGAGATGGCACGTCATTCAAGGCCAGGGGTGGTCCTGCAGTATTTCTGCAGTGGCTGCAAGGAGATGGAAAAGACGCAGCCCACTGCCCTGCCGACCCCTATCTTTCTCTTCCTCTCCTCAGTGTTTTCTCCACTATCCTGACATGTAAAGAGGGTCTTTAACATGCTGCTTCCGGTACTGCATCATCTTTCACCGGATGATGGGGCAGGGGGGATGGGAATGTGGACTGTTGTCCCCCGCCTTCTCCCTCTAGTCTGCTTTCACTCAAGTTAGAAGAGATTGACTGGGGCAAAACGGAGCAATCACTATTCAAGGGCAGGGGAGTGCCTCCTGACCAGGCGAGGCCTGATGGGGGCTGGATTGACCTGGTCCGGCCGAGAAAGGGTCATTCTGAAAGCGTGCCTGAGCATCTCAGAGCAATGTCAGTGATGCCAAAGAGAGCAACTTGGCCTCCTTGGGCACCGGCTCCATGTAGGCCTGCCCGAAGGTAGGGCCTTGTTCTCTGACAAAGGGCTTAATCTTTCCATGTAGCAAAGCAAATCCCCCTCCCCCCAACCCTGACCTTGGGCTTTTGTGGGCCCAGCGTGGCTGTGCCTGTGAGGGAAACACACCAGAGAGAGAAACTGGCATTCTCTCAGGGGCCTAGACAGGCCAGTGGGGAGCGGGGAGTGCTCACTGAAAAGCATAACTGCTTTGGCAAAACCTCCCAATGCTCTGGTTGGCAACTTGGCCAGTGAGGACGGGATCTTGGGCTTCCGGAGGAGCTCACCCCAACGCCAGGAAGGGCCCCTGGGACTGAGTTCCAGAGAGCTTTGCTAGCAGAAATGAGCCCTGGGAGTCCCAAGGGCAACAGAGCATCGACCCCGTTGGTCCATGGTCTGGACAGCTGGAGATGGACCGTCAAAGGCTGTTACATAAAGTTTGCCAGAAACAGTGCCCGTGTGCAAGACTCCTCACTCTTCTGCCTCTGCTTTCTCAGCTGCAAAGTCAGCGCATTTGCTAGTGGTTCCATGGTTCCCTCCAGGTTTTAAAAGTCTGATCTGGAGCTGATGAGGATTGTGAGCCTGGCGCACCTGGCACCCGGCTCCATGGGCTGGTTTCCTCCAGCCCTGGGTGCCCACACTGGGTGCAGGTCCTCATCCGTCCACGCCCAGTGCTGCTTCTGACAAGAGCTCTCGAATCCTAGCAAATGCTCCCACCTCTTTGTGGTTTACTCTGATTCTTGTGTCCTGATGAGAAATAATTAAGAAGTGTCTACAGTGGACAATTTTCAAGGTGCTGATGTGATGTTACAACCTCAGCTGCATCCTGTGTAGGTCAGTATCCCCACCAGCAGGCGAGGCTGGGCCAGTCCTCACTGCTGCTTCTAGAATGACGACAGTGGGAAAGTTGAACATTGGAGAATTTTAGAGGAAATGCTCTCTGATGCATGGAGGGAGGGAATTTATTTCCCATTAAAGTATTTTGCTTCTTAAAACCACTCCTCCCTCCAGAATGCTTTTTAGCAGACACCATCTCAGCAGGCAGAGTGGCTGCTTCCATAGCAAAAGTTGGCCTGATTGTTCTATCCACTCCTTTAGAATATAAATTCGCAGGAGGCAGGAACCCTTTTTTAGAATATCCAAATGCATCCTGCAAAAACGGAGATAGCTGATAGGGACTGACAAGCACACTGTTTAGGTAAGAAGCAATTAGCTTTTTATATCTGTGCTCTATACATTTTCTGTGTGCAGCGTCTTTCCAAACTGGTTGTGGCTCCTGGGGGGCAGGTGGACAGCTGGGAAGGACTTGCTGGCCGTTCGTACAACGTTCTTGCCAATTCCCTTGAGGAGAAAAATTCTTCACATGGCTTCTGCATGTACAGTATTTGAGCAGCAAAAAAAAAAAAAGATTAAAGTCAGTTTGAAAACGGTTTCATGTGTTGCTTTCTGAAGACGGTCCTTAGTGCTAGGAGGGAGGACACAGGGCTCCAGGGGACCAACACGAAGAGGAGGGGGTGCCTTGGCTGGGAGGCAGGAGAGAGCAGTGCCTTTCAGGAAAAAGGCCCGAAAAACATACGACCTGGGCTTCCGACTCCAGCTTCGGAACTCTGTTGCCCCAGTGGTGTCTTGGGGCATGGAATCTGACTGGTGCAGGCAGCTTCCAGCTCTGCCTCCCAGGGTCCCTGTTTATAGGCCCTCAGAGCCTTCTCACCCCACAGACTGCACACCCCAGGGATGCTCAGAGCCAAACAGAGGCGAATGGGAGATGGAGCTAAGGGCACTGCTTAGGACCCACTTTCACTGTTCAGTCCTTTCTGAGCTCTTGTGTCTAGCAGCACTGCTCAGGCTTGTGACTGGGGCCATCTCACTTTGTTCACACCTGATACAAGCGGTAACATAGCAATGACCTCCAGCGCTTTGAACTGCACCCATCATTGATCCCTGGAGCACCCTTGCTTCCGGGAGGGACAGAAAGGTATGTTAACATTTAGTTAATTCTGGGCAGTGCCATTTCCTCCTCCGGTTGAGTCCAGGGGTATAGCAGATGGGTAAAGGGAGTGTAGCAGTCAGAGCTCTTGTTTGCTGGGAAAAGGTTGGCATTCCCCGGTGCAGAAGCCCTCCAGCTGGCCTCCACTACGGTGGCTCTGGACCTTGGCTTTGCAGTTCCAGAGGGCACCGTCTTGAGGGAAGGCTTGCAAGACCAATATATGAGCTCTAATACTCCCAAGGTTGTGTCTGTTCCATGTTTGCTTTCTCCCTGAGATATCCTACACACTCTCATGTGTTTGAGAGCTCCCAAGCTTCTGGACAGACAGCAACGTCCCTCACCAGCCCCCCAAAAGGGAAAGAAGGTCAGACAACAAAAACAAATCCAGAGAAAAAAGTTCTAAAGGATTTTCTTTAGACAGAAGGAATATAGTATGTACTCCACAGGGTTATTGGGGGATTAAAATGAGAATATGTTGAAAGTGCTCAGAACAGTACCTGCCACATAGTAAATGCTCTTCACTACTATTTAGGAAAATTATCCTAGACGGGAGGGCTGAGATGCACAAAGGAAAAGTGAGTAAGGAAGTGGGTTTTTTAAATTAGCAAATATTGACATACTTATATTGTAAAACTCTAATGTTTGATTTGTGAAATTAAAAAATATGAGCATGAACTAAAACATTACACAGTAGTAGCGTAGAAGCTGGTCCTTGGAATGTTCATGGGGAGAATAAAGACACTGAATAACCTCAATCTTCCCTAAATATCCATTCTAAAATCTAGAGTAAATACTAAGAAGACAGAATCTAGTAGATGGAAAGATCCTATATACAAACTATGAAATCCAACAATGTATTTAAAAAACCATGATAATCAAGTGGTATTTATCTCAGGAATGCAAGGATGGTTCATTATTATCACAGAAATTTATCACTGTAATTCACCACATTAATAGACTAAAGGAGAAAAATCATTATTATCCTAATGTGGAAAGGCTTTTGATAAGGTTTAATCCTATTTGTAATAAAAACACTTAGCAAATAGAAGGTAACTTTCTTAATTTGATGAAGGTCATATACCAAAAGATCTACAGCAAACATTATATTAATGGGAACACTGTACACATTCTCTTTAAAATTATGATCATACAAGGAGGTCCACTATCATCGCTACCACTGAGCAGAGTTCTAGGGTTCCTGTACAGAGCCAAGAGGGGAAAAGAAGAGGTGTAAGAACTGAAAGAGAAGAGATAAAACTATCATTTATAGATCACTTGATCACTACCTAGTTTTTAAAAAACAGCAAGGTTGCTGTATACAAGATCACCTTACAAAAGTCAGTTGGATATTTCTATAACAGCTATGACTAATAAACAATACACAGATATTATACATAATAGCAATTTAAATTATTAAGTGGGGATTGTTTGAAAACATATGTAATCTCTGTGGAGAGAATTTTCACTCTAATAACAGAGTTGATGATCTGAATAAGTGAAGAGACATTCCCCGTTCTTAGGTGAGACAGTTTAACATAAAGATATCAACTCTCCCCAAATTAATCTATAAACTCAATGTAATCTAAATGAAATTTCAATTTGTATGTTAAGAACTCTATTAAACTTTCTCTATGACTTCTATGCAACAACATAAGTCCACTAATGGTTAAAGCAACTTCTGTTGAAACAAAGGATGAGCAGAGTCGCCAACTGACATGTGTATACGTGAGAAATTAGTATGTGACAAAGGGGGCACCTTAAAACAATGGGGGAAATGGATTGTTTTCCTAAAACACATATTAGAAAAACTGGTTCACTATCTGGACAAAAGAAAACCCCTATCTAAACCAAAATAAAAAGATAAGTCCTGGGAATCAGGGGAGGAGGGTGGGTGGGGTGGAGGAGTAATACAGACAACTGTATTTGAGCAACAATAAAAATTTTTAAAAATACTTAAAAAAAGATAAGTCCCAGATGGTGTAATATACTCAAAATGAAAGGTAAAATGTAAAATCAATACAAGAGAATGTAAAAGGAATATTTTTGTGAACTAAGGGCAAGAAAAAACTTTTAATATTTCAAAAGCACAAATCATACATTAAAAATTGTGTAATGTGATTACATTAAAAGTGAAGATTTATATTTAATGAATGGCATCATGGACAAAAGTTAATGAACAGATTACAGAACAGTAATTTACAAGGTCAAAAAATGGCAAGAGATTAACAGCTACAATATACAAGGAAGTCCTGCATGACAACCATAAAAAGACAACAACTTCTGTGGAGAAAATGGGCCAAGGAAATGAACGAGCAAACTTCAAAAGCTAATAAGCACATGAAAATAGCTTCAGAATCACTATAATCAGAGAAATGCAAATTAAAACAATATAATAATGAGATATCGCTTTATGTCTATACTAGATTGGCAAAAATTAGAAAACAGAATGATGCTAAATGATGACAAGGACCTGGAGATGCAGTTGGTGCAGCCAGTTTTTAGAGCAAAATGATGTTACCCAGTCCAGGTACATGCAGACCCTGTACTCCATTGCGGGAATGTAAATTGGTGCCCCCACTATGGAAAGCATTACGGAGGTTCCTCAAGAAAAAAAAAATAGAACTACCATAGGATCCAGAAATTCCACTTCTGGGTATTTATCTGAAGAAAACAAAAACTAATTTGAAAAGATGTATGCACCCCCCCCCATGTTCATTGCAGCATTATTTACAAAAGCCAAGATATGGAAACAACCTAAGTGTCCACTGATCGATGAATGGACAGAGAAGATGGTATACACAGCATATACAATGAAATATTATTCAGCCATAAAAAAAATGGAATCTTGCCATTTGTGATAACATGGATGGAGCTTGAGGACATTATAGTAAGTGAAATATTCAGATAAAGAAAGTCAAACACCATATGATTTCATTTATATGTGGAATCTAAAAAAACAAAACAAACAAACGAAAGACAAAAACCAAGCCCATAGATACAGAGAACAAATTGGTGGTTGCAGAGGGGTTGGGGAGGGGAGTCAGGAAGTGTGGGGTGGAAAAAATGGGTGAAGGGGGTCAAAAATTCCAGTCATAAAATAAGTAATCATAGGTAAATACTGTATCACCTGGTGACTATAATTAATAATGCTATATTACATATTTGAAAGTTGCTAAGAGAGTAAAATCTTAAGTCCTCATCACAAAAAAAATATTTTTCTGTAACTGCATATGATGCTGGATAGTAACCAGACTTATTGTGGTGGTCATTTCACAGTGTATGCAAATATTGAATCTTTATATTGTACACCTGAAACTAGTATAATGTTGTATGTCAATTACCCCTCAATAATAAACACCATCTCTAAAATAAAAATAAAAAGATAAATTGGATTTCATCCAAATTAAAATTTCCTGTCTTTGGGAACTTCCGGCCAAGTTGGAAGCCTAGGTAGACACATTGTGCCTCCTTGCACAACCAAAATAAGGACAATTTAGAAACAAAAAACAACCAGAACTGACAGAAAATTGAACTGTATGGAAGTCCGACAACCAAGGAGTTAAAGTAGACACAATTCATCCAGACCGGTAGGAGGAGCGGGGTCAGGCGGCTGGGCAGAGAGGGGTCAGGGCAAAGCGGCGGTGAAGGACCAGGGTGGGCAAGGCAGCTGCTGGGGGAGCAGGCAGTCCCACATTTGTGAGCAGATAAACCAGAAGACGGTGGGACCCCGGCTCCCAGCACAGGAAAATAAGCCTCAAAACCTCTGACTGAAAACACCTGCAGGGGTTGAGGCAGCAATGAGAGAAACTCCCAGCCTCACAGGAGAGTTCGTTGAAGAGACCCACAGGGTCCTAGAACATACACAAAGACACCTACCTGGGAATCAGCACCAGAAGGACTTGTGGGAAGCGGGGGAAGTGACTGAAATCCGGCAGAGAGTGAAGCAAGAGCCATTGTTTTGTCTCAGACCCCTTCCCCCACACACAGCATTACAACACAGCGACGTGGTTGCCCCAACCTGATGAATACCTAAGGCTCCGCCCCTTGTACGTAGCAGGCATGCGGAGACCAAAAAAGGCCCAAACAAAAGAACAGATCTGTTGCGCGTGGGTCACCGGCGAGCAGTGACCACGGAATGCTGCGGATGGCTTGCCGAAAAACACGCGAGAAAAAACACGCACAGAGACAGACCAGTTTCTGTGGGGAAGTAGGGACGAAATGGCCACCCCCCCTAGTGGGGAGCACGCCGATTTACCATCCATACCTGCTTTTATTGGGCTCATTTTGCATAATAATTCAGGTAAAGTACAGTACTCATTAGGGGGAAGTAAGGAACTATAGAAAACAAGGAACTCTGCCGGTCTATTTTGAGTCAAGGTCAAAGAGCTGTAAGATTTTGAGGAACATAACTTCCTCCTTGGACCCCTCTCATTCAAC